TTTTGTGGTCTATTTATGCATAACTTATTTTAAAGCAATTGTTCCATGATGATCTCACCCATGACATTAATTCCTTTTATTATTCCAATTATTCTTCCTTTAGCCTGCTTGTTGAAATAAAAGTGTCTTCACATTACATGAGAAAAACTCTATGGCCACTGAACTGCCACAGTGACAAACTAGGTATAAATATGTTTTTGTTTTTGTAGTAGAGAGTGAATCATTATTTTAAACAGCTTCATCTGCTTCCTATGTCTTTCCAATAAGGGGGAGGAAATGCCGATCTTTGGACCATACTTCAGTAATGAGTTTAATCGCTCTCTTCTTTATCTATTGATCACATCAATCTCTTGTCTTTAGTCCAAAAAAGAATGTGCATCAAGAGTGCAGGCAGGAATCACAATTTCCACAGACCTGAACACATACGCTGCATATGTAAGCAGCTGCAATGAGTTGACTATACTGGTTCTATCACAGAATAATGGGTATACATGAATATGCCTTATACCATGTCAGATCAGATTAGTTCTTCTAGCTCAGAATTGTCTACATTGACTGGTAGCCACTCTCCAAGGTTTCAGAGACTGGACCCTCCCAGTCCTACCTGATACCTTCAGCAGGCAAAGCATATGGTCAACAGTTGGGTTTCACCAATAGTGATGTTCAAGGAAGATGTGACTGATGGCTGGTATCATTCTTCAGTGTGGCGCACTACTCAAATATCATGGAAACAAATGCATGGAAGTATGAGGCCACCCAATAGCCCATGCCCTTTCTGTTGAGCAGTGTAACATCATAATTTTTACTTACTTATTCATTTATATGTTATTTATTAGATTTACCACCCCTCATCATAAGGTCTCAGTGAGGTTATGAGATCAAACTAGCGATAATATTTTGTAGTCTAATGATCAAGGGGAAGACGGTTGTTCGTTATAGAACTGGCAGTTCTGAGAGCTGAATCATGTCGATGTGAGAAGTGGTCGCACTGTCCACCTCAGGTAGATGATCTCTTTCCTTCACAGCACACTGCTTTATACCAGACTACAAAAGTTTCCCACTGTTTCATCACATTTTAGTTGGTGTCAGGGACTGGACTGAAGAGGGGGCTTGGGAACCGGCCCTTGCTTCCCTCAGAGGAGGGGGAGTGGGGGGACTTGGCCCCCTGCTTCCCCTGTAGTTTCCAGAGAAGAGGGAGACAGGATTGTATTGCAGCAGAACACTGAGCTGCCAAGTTATGAGATTTTAGGGGAAGGAGCGGGAGTTGGAGAACTGCCAGCAGAGAATTCCTTGGAGAGCATAGAAGCCCCTCCTTCTCTCCGCACTCATTGCTCATTCAGAATTCAAGAGCAACGAGCCCAATGACAATTAACTCCCGAAGCCTCCCGTAGGGACACAGGCTGTTACTGGGGAAGGAAGGGGGAGCTCAGAGTGAGCAACATCACCATGGAGTTAAGACAGGGTTGTTTGCCTTGCTCCACAATTGCTGAATAAAAACCACAAATATGAACTTTCTTGTTTCTTCTTTGATCCTTGATGCTGCCGGAGGGAGGGGAGAATCCCTAATAAAGGTATTTCCTAATTATGGAATACCTGCCCCCAGTACCTGGACATTTGGTGGACATTTGGCTCAGGCAGCACAGCTGAGCAAAGGGACCCCTCTACTCAGTCCACCACCACCTCATTTCAGCATATGGGTATTATTATTATTGTTACTCTATGACATGACGAAGCCTGGATCCCATCTAGTGTTGCAACCAATAGACCAAATTTCCTGGGACTTGGGCCTTTCCAGCAGCAGGAAGTGCTTAGTGCTGAGATAGAAGAAGGTTTCCGTAATCTTCTTTTAAGCACTACTTGCGCCTGCAAATCTACGGCAACAATTGTAAAAGACAGCATGCACCATCGAAGGCATTATGCCTTTTATACCAGTTTAATGCTTCCTGTTATTACAAATTGGGCCTTACAGCAACTCATTATACCTCCCATAAGCGGCACTCCAATGAGTCGTTATTTATTCGATAAAACAAATTTATTATCAATTACTGCTATTAATAAGCCATTTTATACAACGCTGTAAACGTACGTGGTTCTTCCTCAATAAAAATATTTGTTTTCTTGCCTTGAAGACCTTATGTTCTAAGACAACAGTTAATTGGCCATTAATAGCAATGCAGTTCTAATGAAGTCCATAGTCTGCATGTAGACAGTAGATCTCCCTGTAAAATTGTTACAAGTGTATTCATCTGAATGGTAAATATGGAAATAAGGTAAATGTTTAAAACTTAGATGAGCCTTTAGTAAGTGAAGTCAGCTGTTTCTGAACAGGGAAAACTAGTGTAATTAATAATGGTGAGAAGTTGGTAACAAACAAAAATCCTGTCAACTAACAGTGAACTCATTCTATGAGAGCAGATCCTTACATAGCAAAAGTGGCAGTGTCCATACACAACATGGAGGTGTCAGCAGGCTTCAGTAATGATTGCATGGGGGGAATCTTGGGGACGACGACCCAGATATAGCCCAACAAGGACTGAGCATGCTCAGTAGTTATGGAATGCTGGCTAACTAACTAGCAATGGAAAACTAGAGGGTCAGTGAGCATGTAATAGAGTATCCCAGAATAAGACATGGCTGGCTTTCAGGCAAGAACCTGAACAGTATCCTGTTCATTTCATTGCAGCTCCCACTTGCCTTGTATATTAGTTAGCACAGCTTCCATAGACTAACATCTTTTAAGCTTTTCTATTGAAAATAATGATGATAAGAAAAATATATATATATTTTTGGGATCCTGAGAATCCCATGGTTCACATCTTTAAATTCATTCCTAATCCTGTGTCTGGAGAGGTAAATTTGAAATATAAAATGACACACTTTTAATCTGATCCTCAGTGGAAAACATTGCCACCTTTGGCACCGCTCTCTTAAGGAATGTCCATTAAAAGAAATTTTCTTATGAGGAATATAAGAAAAAGAATGATCCAAGATAGAACAGTGGTGCAGACATTACACATTACCAGGAATGTTAGCTTAGTTCTGTGCAACAGAATTGAAGCCATTTAGACGATGTTCCCTGCTAGTAGTGAGAAACTATGCTTTAATAATTAAAAAGAAACCAGTGTCCTATATAGAGTTTATTTCTTAAACATCGTTAAGAGGTCTTTCTCGGGTGCTTTGCTGAATTTCGATTCAGCTACTTCATGTGGAAAATTGGTAAGTTTTAACATACAATTAAGTTTCCCTTAAGTTTCAAGGTTACTTCTTTGGCTGAGCTGCAGAATGGATGATTGAATGGAATCAGCTAGAAGGCCTACGCCAGGCATAGGCAAACTTGGCCCTCCAGACGTTTTGGGACTACAACTCCCATCATCCCTAGCTAACAGGACCAGTGGTCAGGGATGATGGGAGTTGTAGTCCCAAAACATATGGCGGGCCGAGTTTGCCTATGCCTGGCCTATGCAAACACTTATTGCTGCACACATACACAAATCTGAAGGGCTGACATATGGAAGATGGAGTAAGATTGTTTACTCCTGCCCTGGAGTGGAGGACCCAAGTTACAATGAATGAGATTCTGACTAAACATCAGAAAGAACTTTCTGACAGCAAGAGCTGTTTGACAGTGGAACAAGACTCCCTTGGAAGGTGGTGGACTCTCCTTCCTTGGAGGTTTTTAAGCAGAGGTTGGGTGGCTCCCTGTCATGGATGCTTTAGCCGAGATTCCTGCATTGCAGGGGTTTGGACCAAATGAGCCTTAGGACCCCTTTCAATTCCAAGTTTCTATTTTTGCAATGCATCCCGTTGCACTCATGGAGCTTGGCTGGGACTGTGTGGATGCACCACTAGTACATTTCTCACTAGTATAGTAGAACTGCGCAACTTACCTGACTTCCCTCTGGCTCAGTTGCTGTTGCATATTGGGATGGACAGGGAGAGGACCAAGGAGGCAGTGAAGTCAGCGTGGTGCAAACACACTGGTGGAGCCAATTCAGCAGCAGCGACTCAGCTGGAAGAAGGTCAGGTAATGGGCACAGCCCCACCACTCCACCCACTAGGGACAACTTCCATTTTGAAATGTTGCTTTGTACACATGATGCCTCTCCAGGTTGTGACTCCACTAGTATCCTCACACATTTTCAGAGGCAATGCCATTGAGTTTGTTAACTGAGCGTAAGACATGTGGTTTCTTTGCCTTTTCCAGACTTAATTCCTTTACTTTCCCTAATAAAATGTTCAAATTACCTGCTGTTTAATCCAGACACGTTGTGCTGAGCACCAGAGACAAACCACCAGGTATGCCGTTCAGAGAGTAACAATTAGGATGTGAGTGGTTGGGGATATTAATATTTTATTTAGTTGTATTTTATAATTACCACTAATTAGGCATTACTTGGTGATCTAAGGAAATCAATTTAATGGTTATAGAACTTGGTTCAACATTAAGCTGTATAATTATATGTCTCCACAGAAATGAAAGAGATTCCTCTGAATTCACAGCGAAATGTCTGTGAGCAAAAAATGCTTCAGATCATTCTTTCCTGCATGCTTTACAATAGGCTTGATTTAGAGAGATCTTGCGTACAACTGCAGCTCCCTGCAAATAGAATCTGTTTAGACAACTAATAATAGTTGAGGGGGATCATGGGTAAGGAGAATGCTGTTGTGTTCAGGTTCTGCTTTCAGGTTTCCCATAGGCATCTGATTGGCCACTGTGAGAACAGGATGCTGTGCCATTGGCTTCATCCAGCAGGCTCTTCCTATCTTCTTATGGTAACTAATGAATGTCTGTCCAGTAGGGGCCAGGAAGGTTATGCCCACTGTTTTCACCTGTTAGTTTATTTGATATTTTTGCATTTTACAAAGCACTAAACACAGAGTGTACAGAGATTAGCAGGAATGCAACCCCATACAACACATGCAGACTGACAGAGTCATTGAATTGTGAAGGGCCCCTAGTTCAACCCCCCCTCCCGCAATGCAGAAATCCTGCCCACAGCTGTCCCTGGGTGGGCTCCAAACACCAACCTTATGGTTAACAGCCAGGCAAACTGACCCATTGCACCACAGAGGATATGTAGACCAGGGGTCAGCAAACTTTTTCAGCAGGAGGCTGGTCCACTGTCCCTCAGACCTTGTGGGGAGCCAGACTATATTTTGAAAAAATATATATGAATGAATTCCTATGCCCCACAAATAATCTAGAGATGCATTTTAAATAAAAGGACACATTCTACTCATGTAAAAACATGCTGATTCCCAGACCGTCCATGGGCTGGATTTAGAAGGCGATTGGGCTGGATCCGGCCCTCAGGCTTTAGTTTGCCTACCCATGGTGTAGACTATGTACAGAAGATCAAATGAGCATGTGCATACTGTGGGACTGGCAACCATGGCACAGTGCTGATGCCTTGATCCACATGATCATTGAGCATGTGATTTGGTTTGTTGTTGTTGTTTAGTCATTTAGTTGTGTCTGACTCTTCGTAACCCCATGGACCAGAGCACCCCAGGCACTCCTGTCTTCCACTGCCTTCTGCAGTTTGGTCAAACTCATGCTGGTAGCTTCGAGAACACTGTCCAACCATCTCGTCCTCTGCCGTCCCCTTCTCCTTGTGCCCTCAATCTTTCCCAACATCAGGGTCTTTTCCAGGGAGTCTTCTCTTCTCATGAGGTGGCCAAAGTATTGGAGCCTCCGTTTCAGGGTCTGTCCTTCCAGTGAGCACTCAGGGTTGATTTCCTTAAGAATGGATAGGTTTGATCTTCCTGCAGTCCATGGGACTCTCAAGAGTCTCCTCCAGCACCATAATTCAAAAGCATCAATTCTTCGGCAATCAGCCTTCTTTATGGTCCAGCTTTAGCAGTTGCTTAATTTTCTAGTATAGGTTGGGAAATGGCACATTCTGCCTATTCCTAAGTATATTACAAGGTGTCTAGAGGTTTCCACACCATGAAGTTATATATCCGCACAGCCTACAATTGGCTTATAACAACCAATGAAACTGCCACAGGGACAAATGTGGTTACATGTTATTACATTGGAACAACCATATCTGGTTTCACATGTGAAAACTTCTGCTGATATTTGGATGGAGGAAAAGTCACTAGATTGGATATGGAAAGGATGAACTACAATTTGATCAAGGTCAAATATTAATGGTATAATCAGTGTCTGATTTTCAATTAAGCTACCCAATTCTTGCTACCTCATTGTTAATATCCAACCCCATAATTAACTGAAGCTTCTTGAGGTGGAGCGTGAATTATATTCTTTCCACTAATTGGGAAATGTTCACTGACCTGACACAGTTCCATTTCATCACTTGCTGGTGCTTTTTGAATGTGAAAGAATTCTTCTTTTTCTTTCCAAACAAGAGTGCGATATCTGTAAAATCCTGCCATAAATAAATTCATGCCTTACTCTGTGCTGCACCTTTCTTTAACTTCAACAGAGCAGAACCTGTGAAAATGAGATTACAAGAAAATATGTTTATGACCATCACAATTTGATTTGGCTTTAGAACAGAATTTTGACAGGGCCCAGGGTTTGTGTCTACATTGCATTATGCAGGACTCTAAGTTATTTAACACTTTGGAAAAAAAAGTAAGTTTTCTTTTTATTAAATTGTAACACATAATGCATTTTATTTGAATCATAAAACTCTATAGAATAATACAACTGCCACCAATGAAATAACATTCAGGACTAGATTGTGCCTGGGAAGCAAAAGCATGCATTTTGGAAAAATGCAAAGTCACCTACACGCGGAGACATTTTTCTAACACATCGAGACCCATATTTCTTAATGTAGGTATCTCTAACCTTTACAGACCCAGGACCTACTTTTCCCCAAAACACGCATTTGGGGACCCATTTCTTAGTTTTTCACCATATATTTGCATGCAGCTAGGGCTCCTGTTGCGACTCATCTTGGATCAGGCCAGTTGAAGACTGATCTGAAATAAAATTCTTATGTATGTGGTCTTGTGGTTCCTTTACACCTGTGATAAAGCCCAGTCCCTGCCCTAGCAGTAGCTTTGTGTAATATGTTATAGCTCATTCATTAGTTTGGAAATCTGAAAAGTAGGGTCACAATACACCATTTGGTACAATGGTCTGTTTGATTATTAGCATATGTCTACCCTGCCTTTTGGTTGGCTAGGTCCACGAGGCAGCTAACAATATAATAAGCAAAGCAATATAAAGTAGTCTAAAAGTGAAGATTTGAACAGCACCATAGGTACAAATGAAAAATCCTGCATTTCAAATAAGCAAAAGAAAAATACAGAGTGTGGTGGTTGTGATGGCTTTACGTAGCATAGGCTGATAGGCCCACCACACTTGTTTCTGGAGAGGTAAATTCTTAGCTTCCACCAGTTGGTGGGGATCACATTAACCTTGGTATTTTAAGAAGCCTCTCTTGTCTAAATTATCTGAATTATCTACCATGCTGTTTCTGGTGGGGTTTTAAAAATATATATAAATAAAATAAAATAATAACTTTAATTCATGGTGATTGCTTGAATGCTGTTAGTTGTCTTTAACTCTACTCTGGGAAAGGTGGGATATCAATTGTTCTAAGAAGTAAATGCTAGTCAAACCCTTCTGGTCAATGCAAGAGGGCATGGTATCCCTAAGACTAGTGTCTGATTCTGTGCTCTGCAGCCAAAATGCATGAGGTTGTGACCTTAGACCTAAATTTCACCCTAATTCTGCAAATATGGGACTAGAGAGTCCTTTTAGAGAAGAATGCATTGATGGAAGAACAGTTTGCTTAACACTGGCTTTCTCCAATCACCCTCCAAAACTGGTTCTTTTTGGGGGCAATATTTTCCAGGGGAAAGTTGCAGAGGAACATCTGTAGGTGCCAGAAGAATCAAATGTACTGATTTCCCCCTGTCAAATATGCTGCTACACCTGTTTTCACATTCACGCCTGGGCAAAAAAGGATTCCAAACGCATGTTTTGCTGCAATAATGTATATTCCCAACCTTACTCCCACAGGCTACAGATTACTTAGAATAAACTGAAATAATTGCTGTTTTCTTCAATCTATTTTTTCCAATTTTGGAATTGGATGTGCTACACATTAAATTTATAAGTCCCCTTGGCATAAGATTGCATTAAATATTAGTAAACAACCTGTAAAGATGTTTCATTTGCAATTTGAAGTGCTTAACAGTTCAGAAGAAAAAGCTGAATATATATTAAATACCTGCCTACAGGAAAAATAGGTTGTTCATTACCTGAAATAAAGTCTAAACATTTCTGCTGGAGAACCTTGAAAAATCAATAGATCATTTCATAAGATGATTATGAGATTCTATATCATTGGGAGTTCTTAAATTAACATTTATTGATGTTTTGTTATCCTTGTAAATGAAATGAAATGTTCTGTGAAACATTTCTCTTAGCTGTTCTCCCCTCCCCTACTTGCAAGCCCAGTGATATTTATTAAATTGAATCCTTAGTTTTATTATTATGGTTATAAAGAGCATACAAATCAATGTATTTAAGGTGACTTAAATATCACTTTTATAGAGTAAAAGCTGCAAACCAAATTGGATTTTTACAACCCTGTGTTTTAACAAGCTGCTAATTATCTTTCTAATGGGTTTTCTAAAAATCTTACATGCCCTATTTGATCTGTAAGCTCAAAGTTCCATGAAAAGCATGGGGTATCTCATGCATAACTGAAAAATGAAGCAAGAGGTGTGTGTGTAGGAAAACCGGGGGGGGGGGGGAATACCCTAGAGCTTAAAGCCTTCTTTCCCCCCCATTATCAGTGCAGTACATTCTGTTTTATGTTGTTGCTTTATGTTTTATGCAGAAAGATGCTTCTACAGGCAGTATCAGCAACTATAGGTATAAAGCATGGGCAGGCAAACTTAAGGCCCGGGGGCCAGATTTGTGGGGCCTGCCTGGCAGTGGCGTAGCGTGGGGGGTGCAGGGGGGGCCGGCCGCACCAGGCGCAACATCTGGGGGGGGCGCTCGCACTCGCAGCTCTCTGCCCCTACCTGGCTCACTCACTCTCTCTCACTCACTCACTGCAGTGCTGGCTGTGCAAATCCGATCCGAGCCGCTGGGTCGCCGCCCACTGTGGAGGGGGTGGGTGCCAGGCGTGCGGTGCGGAGAGAGAGCGAGGGACTATCTGGGGGAGGGACAGTGCAGCGGCCGCCCAACGCAGCGCTGAGCGCGGGAGAGAACCACACCAGACCAGCCCAGGCAGCAGTAAGAAGAAGCTGGCAGCGGCGGCAGGTTAGGGGTTAGGGGGCGCAAATTACTTGCCTTGCCCTGGGTTAGGGGGCGCAAATTACTTGCCTTGCCCCGGGTTAGGGGGCGCAAATTACTTGCCTTGCCCCGGGTGCTGACAACCCACGCTACGCCGCTGCTGCCTGGTGTTTTTCCATGAGTAGAATGCATCTCTGGGTTATCTGTGGGGCATAGGAATTCGTTCATCCCCCCCCCTTCAAACTATAGTCCTGCCCCACACAAGGTCTGAAGGACAGTGGACCAGCCCCCTGCTGAAAAAGTTTGCTGACCCCTGGTATAAAGCCAAACCAGCCCTGGAGGTAAAAGTGCATAAAGGGGGGGCATTCCTGGCAACAGAATTTGGTGTGAGATCACTTTGGGATGCAGGAGTTGAGAGCTGTTTTCCCTTAAAAGGTAAAGGGACCCCTGACCATTAGGTCCAGTTGTGGCCGACTCTGGGGTTGCGGTGCTCATCTCACTTTACTGGCTAAGGGCGCTGGCGTACAGCTTCTGGGTTATGTGGCCAGCATGACTAAGCCGCTTCTGGTGTACCAGAGCAGCGCACGGAAACGCCGTTTACCTTCCCCCAGAGTGGTACCTATTTATCTACTTGCACTTTGACGTGATTTCGAACTGCTAGGTTGGCAGGAGCAGGGACCGAGCAACAGGAGCTCACCCCGTCGCGGGGATTCGAACTGCCGACCTTCTGATCGGCAAGTCCTAGGCTCTGTGGTTTAACCCATGGCGCCACCCACGTCCTTGTTTTCCCTTAGGCACAGCCAAATTCCACCACCGCTTGGGCCAACACACTTGATGCAGCTT